TTTTAGACAATAAAGCAAAATGAGATTTGAAAAACTTTGAAGTTTTTTTTTTTGACTTAAAATTTTTTTATTAAATTATTAATATTTTCACATGTACTTTCCCTCTCCCTCTCCCTCCCCCCAACCCCATTCCTTTTAAGAGATAATCATAGTATTATTTTAAATTCTTAAATTTATCAAAATTATGAATCATTTTAGAAATTATTTTCAATATCCGACAAATTTCCCCATTATTTTTATTAATGCTACACATTATAAATTACCATTTAAGCTTAAATATATAAATATATAGCATAGTATGTAAAGTTTACTCTACAGATAAAGATCAGTTAACATAGGAAATGACAAGATTTGTTTAACAGTAATAGAAGTAAAATTCAAGAGCATATTTTTATAGCAAATCATAACTTCTATGATCTAAAGTGTCTTACTCATCATCTTTGTACAGATGCCATTTAAAATTTGTTCTTCAGAAGAGATACATAGATATTTTGTTTTCTATCTAAATATAAAAGAACTATTATGAGCTAACTATTTTATTATAGCACCCCCTAAAAGTTTGAAATTGGATTTTTGTGTGTATTTAAATATGTTTTATTATCTCTGTTAACAATGTACAGCTTTTTAAAATCAAAATGAAGACTGTACTTGTTGTTTCTAATCAGAGTGAAGACAATGAGGGTACTGTAAATGAATTGTTGCAAAGAGGAGACAACTTACAACAAAGAATCACAGATGAGAGAAAGCGAGAGGAAATAAAGATAAAACAGCAGCTGTTACAGACAAAACATAATGCTCTCAAGGTATTAGAGCTCAAATTATAATATACTTCGTGTGTGGTTTTGTATATATAGGGTAAAATGCAATGTATATTAATAAAATCTGCTTAAGCATTTTATTTACCAGAAAATTACCTTTTCCTTTGAATATGTGTGCTTTATTTATGATTCTTTTGTGTTACCAGTTTGGTGAAATATGTGACATAAACTTTGTTTTGTTCTTTTTCTCAGTAATATTGAAATCTATCCAAAAGTATCACTCACAGTATTCATAAATTTATTTTATAATATACTCTATTTCTCTAACCTAGTTTTGTGTTTGTCTTGATTGCCGGAATAATCAATTGATATTCCCTCCACTGGTTTTGTTTCTCTATAGGTCTAGTATTTTGCCCAACAGTTTCTACAATAGGGCCTATATTTTCCTCAGTTTAAAAAATAAACTTTACTGTGTTTATAACAGATACTTTGTAAGAGTAGGCATCTATAAAAGCCTAGATTCATTTATATAGGAACCCTCAAAAATACTCATGACGCACTTGAAAAACTGTTGTCAGCTGTAGTATATGCACTCAAGTATCCTTATGACCCATCTTTATCGTGTAGGAAGAACAGAATAAACTGTTCATTTTCTCTAATGCTGTCTTTGCAGTCCTTGAGATGGAACTAGATATGCTAAACATTTTGTAGACCACTACTTTTGTATATGCTTTGCAATATTCTCTATTTTCCTTCATGGCTTATTTTCTAATACTGTTAATTGTAATGTTTTTCTTTGTGAATCATTACTTTAGACCTATATGACTATATGGTTAGATTTGCCTAGTAGGTGGATGGAGTCTGCATTCTATATGCAAATAAGTGGGTAAAATCTCTTTTCCTATTGTTAACCAAATAAGCACTGCTGAGAATGTAATTACACACTATTGTGCCTGCCAGGAATCAACAAGGAAAGTCTAATTGACCAGCAGGTGTTCTGAAGGTAACTGTCCACAAACATGGTAAAAAGAAAATACATCTTCCTTGAGGGAAATACAAGAGGGAATCATAATGTGCCTAGAAAATCAGAAACCTGTGTAATTCATACTCTTATGTGACAAAACCTTTCAGAAGATTATAGATTAGTCACAGGAAGAAATGTGTATTATTAGTCAGCAATGTCTAGAGGTCATGTTCCATACATCTAACAAATACATTTCATTTTTATAAATAATATTCTGTATTGCACATCACCTCTTTCTATGGAAACGAAAGGACTATAAGATTAATAACCATCAAGTCCTTTATTCAAATATGTACTTTGTATCATGAATAAGACACAGTTCAGTAAGTCTCAGGAGTAGATCTCGGTATATTGTTAGGCAAAACAGAATTCCATCAAACACTTCCAAGGCATTTATTACATTTAAATGGAGTTTAGAAATGACATACAAAATACAAACTATAGTAAATTGTAAATCTTCATACCACATGTAATTAATAAAAAGTTAACAATGTTTGGCAAACCTGACTTACACCAAATACAGTTATGGAGTTAACCTGACAATTAGTTGCAATTTTATTATTATAAAATATTTTTAAAGAGACTAGAAGTTCCCAAAGCAATGTAACTTTCAGGTCTTCATTCATATTATTTTACTTCATATTAACTTGGATATAAAACCCAAATGCTACCTCTTTGAAGAAATGAAATCTGTAGATAGAGCTGTTACATATCTCTGGGGTAGAAACTGGTGTTTTAGCTAATTTTGTAGATTCCAGAAAATTTTGAGTGTACTTCTGTGAAACAGACAAAAACTACTTTCTCCTTTGATGATTTATTAAAACAGTTTACTTGTTTTGTATCACCAAGTTGAGGGAAAACTTGGTTTTCAAAAAACATTCTTTTTGAAATGGCAGTTATTTTTATACTTTGAATATAAACTAGTATAATAAAATGTTGTCTAAGCATGCATTGAAAGAAAAAGAAGTAATATTTAATTTCTCACTTTCATATACAATCATATCTCTATAAAGAATAGTTATACGTAGAACAACTTCAACTAAAATAACTAAAAATTATTATCTTATGTATTATCTTTATGTATTATTCCTGCATGTTTTTCTCTGCACCATGTGTGTGAAGTGACCACAGAGGCCGGAAGATGGTATCAGGTGCCCTGGGACTGGTGTTACAGATTGTTGTACTGGGAGTCCAAAATTCTTAATGCTGAGCAATTTCTTCAGCTTCCAGGATAACTAATTTTTTAAGCAACAATATTAATGGCCTAACTTTATAGACATTTCTAAAACCATGAATGTATATAGTTTGTCTATATAGTATTAATTTTTGTTGATAAGCCCCAAGCTCAACACCTATTTTAGAATTTTAAGTATTAGTAAAGTCAAGTGAAACCTAATGCTTTTGTAGCTAATTAGTTAAGTTCCTTATATTCAAATATACATATGTGAAATGGTTTCAAATGTATTATCCAATCATTTTCTTAGATAATTAAGACTTCATTAAATGTAAAAAAGATTTGTAAGCAAATTTGAATATTCAAAGAAAATTTTTTTGTGTTTTTCATGTTTCTTAGCATCTATACATATGTTTAACACACAAATACATAATTGAATAGTTTATGTCCATGCTTTGTATTTAAATGTGATTTTTACATAACAATTTAAAAGGCAATGGTCTCAATTTTATTTTCATAAATAACTGCAGCAGGCATATATTATCCACATATATTGATGTTTTAATAATATCTGCATCATGAACAGGATTTGAGGTCTCAAAGAAGAAAAAAGGCCCTAGAAATTTCTCACCAATGGTATCAGTACAAGAGGCAGGCTGATGATCTCCTGAAATGCTTGGATGACATTGAAAAAAAATTAGCCAGCTTACCTGAGCCCAGAGATGAGAGGAAAATAAAGGTAAAGTTGTTTTAGAATGGCAATACTAGATTTTGCTGCTAGATTTTTGCTATTTTAACATAACCTACAATGACCATGTATAAAATGTGTTCTGGTTTCCTCTATTAGCTTGCTCTGTGCTTTGATGTATTTCTTTGTATTGTGTTTTGTTTCAGTAACTGTATTGTACTGTCACTGAATTGACGTAATGTCAAATGAATAAAATGTTTTATATTAGACAATGTGAAAAGAATTGTTAACTGTCATGTGTTTTCTGGTGAAATTGTAATTGACTCTATGTATCTTTGTTCCAGATGAACTAATGACTTACCGGTACATGGACGGCTTCTTTCTCATGTTAGCACATTCATTTCATCAGAACATCTTTTCATATCACTGTCAAATCTCTAGAGATTTATTTTCAAATTGTCCAAAGAGGTTTTCTTTCTGTTATTATTTTACACTTTTTGTTTTGCTTCATTCTCTGTTGAGTTCCTCAAATCTTTAAAATAAAAGTTGTAGTCACTTGCCCTCTTAGTTATATTCTAAATGTATTATCCCTACCAAATAAGTGAACAATCACTCCAATTTGGATCAATTCTCAAAGCACCAGAACAATCCAAAAGAAATAAAATATTAACTAACATTTAATAATTTAATTAGAATATCTTAAACTGAGCATTCAAATGATACCTAAAATTATATTTGGCTTACTGGGTGAGAATGACAGTGACACCTTCCATTATTTATAAATTATGAAAATATAAAAAGGAACAACAGCCTATGAAATTTATGAGACAAGTATTTGCTGCTTGTGGGTCGGTTGATGTGGTTAGCTAACTGCCTGGGCCCTGTATTGATTTTGCTCAATAGGAAATTGATCGTGAATTGCAGAAGAAGAAAGAGGAGCTGAATGCAGTGCGCAGGCAAGCTGAGGGCTTGTCTGAGAATGGGGCCGCAATGGCAGTGGAGCCAACTCAGATCCAGCTCAGCAAGCGCTGGCGGGAAATTGAGAGCAATTTTGCCCAGTTTCGAAGACTCAACTTTGCACAAATTGTGAGTTGTTACTGGCAAACCCACGTATGTGTTTGCAACTACTACTCTATTAACAGAAGCCTACTAACACCACCAAAAATCTGGGCTATTGTGCATTCTAAAAGTGAGTAGTTACCCTCACTTTGGGCTTCTGTAACTCAAAAGCTTAATTTTCAAGATTAAAGACAAAAGGACAAGTGATAGGAAAAGGCCCCTTATTCAAAATGAAAAGGAAAAACTATACATCTCTAATTTCTTTTGCTGCATTGTTTTTCATAACATTGGCAATGTGAATTTGTCAATTTCTCATACATTTATTTACTTCACTGTCTAATTCAGAAATATACATTGCTTTCCTCTGAGATCATCCCATGCTAATTTTACTTTCTTACTGTATACATAGTGAATAATAAATATTTCATGAAATACGTTATTTTGACCTAAATACGGTCATCTCGTTGACTTAAAGTATATTACTACAGTCTTTACTCTTGGATTAGGCACTTAGTGGGTCACAGTCCTCATTAAATGAACTGGATGGCTCACAATAAGTTGATATTCGATGGAAGATCAAATTAAAATGTCGTCACTAAAGTGTTAGAAACCAGAAGGAAAAGGAGAGTCCTTTTAAACAACAGGATGGAACATTTCTGATCTCCTCCTTGAAAAGCCAATTCAAAATTGTATAATCCTTCTTGCTTATTTGTAATAGGGTAGCTACAACAGAGACTTTTTGACAAATACACTTTTGTTCCTTACTCAAGTTCTTAGAAGGTAAAGAAGAATGACCACCATCTGCATTTCCAGAAAGTGTGCATCGCAATCCCAGGATACAAATGTCTGAGATATAATGACCATTTTGTGTTGTGTAACTAAAACTTGCATGTGATTCAATTCTAAATTGATATTTCTTCTGTGATATTATTAATTCCACTTATTAGAGTGTATATGTAACATGCCTAAATTAATTAAAATAATTATTTTATCAATGCGTATGGGACAAAATGGAATATTATTGTGACTCTATATTTTTAAGAAAATTAACTATACATTTTTATGAAATTTAATAATCTCTAGTTTAATTGCAGCTAAGTATTGCAAACAATTTGAAAAAAAAACAATTTAAGAAATACTAGCAAGCCATGATGGTGCATGCCTGTAAATATTGCAGTTATGAAGTCTATGTAGCACAACCAGGAAATCAAAATCAGCCAATCTGCCTCAAGAAATAAAAATAAGAAAAATAAAAAGGGAAATACTGGAACTATTTTCTCTTGAGTCTTAAGTTTAGTTGATTGAACATTAAAGTCTATGATATTTCATATTTAATATTATAAGCATAATATCACATAAATCACTGAAGTTTGCAATAGCAGGCAACATACAAATAAACTATGGTAAGATAACTTCTGTGTATGTGGAAGTGTGCATGTTCATGTATATATGAGTGTACACGCAGGTGTGGTTAAATGGGTATGTATGTGGATGCAGGTGGAATTCTAACTGAGAATGCATCTTCAGGTGTTGTTTCTCAGGTTCCATCCAACTGTTCTTTAGGTTCCAATTACTGGTGGGAGGAGACTATGCTTCTAATTGGCCTGGAAATCAACAAGTTGACTTGGCTTATTGATCTTCCAGGGGACCCAAAAATCCATCCTCTTGCCTCCCTAGTGCTTAAACTCCAATTGTATAAACCATACCTTTATTACTACTACTACTACTTATAACGAGAACCGATCCGTAGTCCATATGGTTAAGATATCTTTATTCAGATAAACACCAGCCAAACGCAAGCCAGAGCATGGCAGGAGCAGCAAGGCAGAGAGGCCAAAGAGAGAAGGGGCTCCCATGTACTTTGCCATCCCTTAAGAATCCCTCTTATGTCATCCTGACCTCACCTTGA